TCGGAACATTAATCATATTTGGTAATGGTATTATTGTATTAAGTGCTGGCTCCATCCACCCAGACCAAATCCCGACAATGAGCTCAGCAGTCTGAGGACGTCTCCACACGAGCTGCAGGGAAACTGATCCAAATTCATCAGAATAGAGAACAGACACCGATCTGTGGGGGAGGGGGGGGGGCTCTCAGTGCTGCTGCTTTTCTCATTTCCGTGTGAAAAGAGCTCCATTACGGTGATACGGAACATAACAGAACGAACATGTGCTCATTTCATCAGGAAAGAAGTGAATATGAATAGATGTGAGATTATAGGCAGAGCTCACGCTGGGTGAAATGCACAGTGAGTTGATTTAGTACCACCCTTGCATCTATGTGCACTGGCCATTTTAACAGAAACACCAATATACAGGGTGATTTATCCGATTTCAAAATGATTCATTTCTCTTGTAAATCGTTACAGATCAATTCAGTGAACTGTAAATGGTTTAAATGAGCATAAAGTTTATTATGTAATTGTACAAGGTCTCAATATGAACCTCCTCCAGCTGTACAGACAACATCAACACCATAGTCAAACTCATCCCATACTGGATTGAGCGTGTCGGGTGTCGCTGCACTCACGGCTCTTTCAGTGCGATTTCGGAGATCATCCAGTGTTGTGGAACCAACGACGAACGCTCTGAGCTGTTGGAGCTTCACTGCCCATGAAAATCACACTGCACAGTTATGACGGATTCACTCTTATTGAAGTGGAGAACGCAGAACACTTTCTGCTCAGGGGTCTCATCTCCTCTCAGACTGAAGGGGGAGCCATCTTCCGGTGACAGTTAGAAACTCTATGACCCCTCTTTCAATTGGATTGTGATTGGTTCCTCGGTGCCTCACGGTTGTAAAAATATGGCGCTTTGAAATCAGATGAATCTTTCTGAATCGCCCTGTATAGTTACAGGCTGCAGCGAACCTGCTGCTCTATGGTTTATTAGCCCCTCCACCCCATTCATCACTCGTTGAACGCAATAGGCTTTTATTCAGGAATGCCCACCTTTTTTTCAACGTTTCAGAGAGATTCAGAGTGGTTTGGTGTGAAATGGTTCAGATGTCTTTACAGTGGTGGTCCCCATGACTACAACACAGATATAGACATTTTATTTACTATCCAGAACCACCAGTGAACCTACACGAGTCTTCTGAGTTTATATGGAATGTTGATGATGGAAAATAGTGGAAAATCTGGAATAATAAGTTTTCTTTGGGGACTATTTTGCCTCACAGCGCCCTGCATGTATCCCTCCACCATGAATGGAGTTTAAGTTCTCTAAACTATCATAAAACAGTGTCTCAGTCATCAGGCAGTGAATTCATAACCATTTTATGTAGGAACTTTCTGTGAGGGAGCTTTTAGAGGTATATGCTTTCTTCTCTCTCTCTCCTCCTCTCTGATCATCACTCCTAATTCTGGCTCTGGTTTGTGGAACAGGCTCCAGCCTGCAGATTCTCTCAGAGCCCTGGAGAGAACCCAACACAAACACAGAGCACAGAACACTAGAGCTTTCAATTCAACACAACACACACTCACATGCGAATGCCCCGGTCATACGACGTTTTCTTGGTGAAAATAAGTTAACCCTCTCAGGTTGACAGTAGCAACGATTACAGTCTGATGATCCGTTAACAATCCGACTAACAGCTCAATCGGAATAGAATAAGTCCATGTAAACACCTCAGTCGGAATAGTCTAGTCCTGTTGAGATAATTCAGAATACAGTTTCTATCTGATTGAACGAGGTGAGTAATCCTGAATAATATCAGTGTAAACGCCTGTATCTGATTACATTCCCAATCGGAAAGTTTACACTGATCAGGCATAACATTATTGTTTCTACACTCACTGTCCATCTTATCAGCTCCACTTACTATATAGGTGCACCTTGTAGTTCTACAGTTACAGACTGTAGTCCATCTGTTTCTCTGATACTTTGTTAGCCCCCTTTACCCTGTTCTTCAGTGGTCAGGACCCCCATGGACCCTCACAGAGCAGGTACTGTTTGGGTGGTGGGTCATTCTCAGCACTGCAGTAACACTGACGTGGTGGTGGTGTGTTAGTGTGTGTTGTGCTGGTTCGAGTGGATCAGACACAGCAGTGCTGCTGGAGTTTTTAAACACTGTGTCCATTCACTGTCCACTCTATTAGACACTCCTACCTTGTCAGTCCACCTTGTAGATGTAAAGTCAGAGACGATAGCTCATCTGCTGCTGCACAGTTTGTGTTGGTCATCCTCTAGTCCCTCATCAGTGGTCACAGGACGCTGCCCACAGGACGCTGTTGGCTGGATATTTTGGTTGGTGGACTATTCTCAGTCCAGCAGTGACACTGAGGGGTTTAAAAACTCCAGCAGCTCTGCTGAGTCTGCGCTCCTGACTCATAGACCAATCAGAGTCTGAGCTCCTGACTTGTCGTTAGAAAAATGCTACCCTTCCAGGCAAAAATAAAAGTAAGTCTCTAGCACGCAGTGTTCTCTCTCTCTCATCTCTCTCTAGATCTGTCTCTCTCAAGCTCTCCCTCTCTCATCTCTCTCTAGCTCTCTCTAGCTCTCTCTAGATCTGTCTCTCTCAAGCTCTCTCTCATCTCTCTCTAGTTCTGTCTCTCTCATCTCTATAGCTCTCTCTCTCCTTCTCTCTCACTATATCCTCCTTCTCTAACTCTCTCTTTCTCATCTCTTTCTCCTCTCTAACACTCTCTCTCACTATCTCCTCTCTCTCTCTTTCTTCTTTAGCTTTTTCTCCCCTGCACAGATTAACTCAGGACAGAGCCATACGCACACACGCGCACACTCGCGCACACACACACACACACACACACACACACACACACAAATGCTAAGATATTGATCAGTTCTATCTCTTTAGCAGAACTCCGGTGCCAGATCATTGGTTCCGTCCGAACTAATGCACTCAGCAGGTCCTGCTCCAAAAGCCCTGCAGCACCTCCTGCACTTCATCAGGCAGCGGAGCAGACAGGAACACCAGCTCTGCTTCACACATATTTCGATATATCAAATAAAAACACTTGATAGAAATTGGCAGATATTAAATAATAATGTAACATGGCCGATTAGGTGTTTCTGCTTTTGTGGCCATAGTTACAAAACATGGCAGCAGGTACCCGTGGGCTGATGAGATCAATATGTCCCTTTATCTTACAGAAAAGACAATAATAGTGATGTAAAAATATATACGTTATATAAGAATCTTTGAATGCAGATTTCCGTGCATGTGCAGTCGTTGTGAGATTAATGGTACTGCAGAGTGGAGCTTAATGAGCTCTAATTCCTTACATTTATCTACAACCGCACTGCCAGAAATTACTGCACCGTTTCACCAGCATGACTAATGAAATCGGTTTGACAGGTGATGAATGAAGCTTGTACGTAGATGTGGATCGTAACTGAGTATCTCTTCAAAACATAAACAAACAATGCAATTATATATTAAACTTACATAGAAATAAAAACGTGAAGGAAGTTGTTTCAGATTCTGCACGATTATAAACAATCTGCGTCCTTTGTTCAATATAAACATTCAGTGTTGGGTAATAAAGGCTGTGTGGGTAGTAAGCACACTGTGCGGTGTTGAGCAGTAAGCACACTGTGCGGTGTTGAGCAGTAAACACACTGTGCGGTGTTGAGCAGTAAACACACTGTGCGGTGTTGAGCAGCAAGCACACTGTGCGGTGTTGAGCAGTAAACACACTGTGCGGTGTTGAGCAGTAAACACACTGTGCGGTGTTGAGCAGTAAACACACTGTGCGGTGTTGAGCAGCAAGCACACTGTGCAGTGTTGAGCAGCAAGCACACTGTGCGGTGTTGAGCAGCAAGCACACTGTGCGGTGTTGAGCAGTTAGCACACTGTGCGGTGTTGAGCAGTTAGCACACTGTGCGGTGTTGAACAGTAAGCACACTGTGCAGGGTGTTGAGCAGTAAACACACTGTGTGGTGTTGAGCAGTAAACACACTGTGCGGTGTTGAGCAGTAAACACAGTGTGCGGTGTTGAGCAGTAAGCACACTGTGCGGTGTTGAGCAGTTAGCACACTGTGCGGTGTTGAACAGTAAGCACACTGTGCAGGGTGTTGAGCAGTAAACACACTGTGCGGTGTTGAGCAGTAAACACAGTGTGCGGTGTTGAGCAGTTAGCACACTGTGCGGTGTTGAGCAGTAAACACAGTGTGCGGTGTTGAGCAGTAAACACAGTGTGCGGTGTTGAGCAGTTAGCACACTGTGCGGTGTTGAGCAGTAAACACAGTGTGCGGTGTTGAGCAGTAAACACACTGTGCGGTGTTGAGCAGTAAACACAGTGTGCGGTGTTGAGCAGTAAACACAGTGTGCGGTGTTGAGCAGTTAGCACACTGTGCGGTGTTGAGCAGTAAACACAGTGTGCGGTGTTGAGCAGTAAACACACTGTGCGGTGTTGAGCAGTAAACACACTGTGCAGGGTGTTGAGCAGTAAACACACTGTGCGGTGTTGAGCAGTAAACACACTGTGCGGTGTTGAGCAGTAAGCACACTGTGCAGGGTGTTGAGCAGTAAACACACTGTGCGGTGTTGAGCAGTAAACACACTGTGCTGTGTTGAGCAGTAAACACACTGTGCGGTGTTCCGGTAATAAGCACACTTTGTGATGCTGGGTAGTAAACAAACTCTGTGGTGTTGGGTAATAAAAGGGCTGCGTGGTGTTGGGTAAAGAGCAAACTTTGTGGTGCTGGGTAGAAAACAAACTAAGTTGTGCTGTGTTGGGTTATAAGCTATGCAGTGTTGGGTAATAAACAGGCTGTATGGTGCTGGGTAATAAAAAGGCCATTTGGTGTTGTGTAATAAAAGGTTGTTCGGTAAACACTTTACGGTGTTGGGTAATAAGCAGGCTGTGCGGTATTGGGTAATAAACACACTGTGCTGTGTTGGGTAATAAAATGCTGTATGGTGTTGGGTAATAAACAGTTAGCTCACCAGGCCTGAGCTTTCCTCCGGCTCATGCTCTGTCTCAGCCACTTGGAGTGCGGAGTGAGGTGATAGATCAGCTGCCTGCAGATTTTATCTGTCGACTTCAGCATGTCCGAATCCTAAAAACACAGACAGACAAGCTTCTTCACTTTCAGCTCTCCATACATCACGGTGCACGTCCGCAATAACCACACAGTAACTCAGCGACACTAACAGGTCAATAGTAAAAAATTCACTGCATGAAAATGGCCAAAATGTTATTTTGTTAAATATATGTTTAAAATGTATTCATTAGTATTAGTTATCATACGCCGATCAGGCATAACATGATGAGCACCTCCTTGTTTCTGTTCTCATTGTCCATTTTATCAGCTCCACTTACTATATAGGTGCACTTTGTAGTTCTACAGTTACAGACTGTAGTCCATCTGTTTCTCTGATACTTTGTTAGCCCCCTTTTACCCTGTTCTTCAGTGGTCAGGACCCCCATGGACCCTCACAGAGCAGGTACTATTTGGGTGGTGGATCATTCTCAGCACTGCAGTAACACTGACGTGAGGGTGGTGTGTTAGTGTGTGTTGTGCTGGTCTGAGTGGATCAGACACAGCAGTGCTGCTGGAGTTTTTAAACCCCTCAGTGTCACTGCTGGACTGAGAATAGTCCACCAACCAAAAATATCCAGCCGACAGCGTCCTGTGACCACTGATGAAGGACTAGAGGATGACCAACACAGACTGTGCAGCAGCAGATGAGCTATCGTCTCTGACTTTACACCTACAAGGTGGACTGACAAGGTAGGAGTGTCTAATAGAGTGGACAGTGAGTGGACACAGTGCTTAAAACTCCAGCAGCTCTGCTGTGTCTGATCCACTCGAACCAGCACAACACACGCTAACACACCACCACCACGTCAGTGTTACTGCAGTGCTGAGAATGACCCACCACCCAAATAGTACCTGCTCTGTGAGGGTCCATGGGGGTCCTGACCACTGAAGAACAGGGTAAAAGGGGGCTAACAAAGTATCAGAGAAACAGATGGACTACAGTCTGTAACTGTAGAACTACAAAGTGCACCTATATAGTAAGTGGAGCTGATAAAATGGACAATCAGCGTAGAAACAAGGAGGTGCTCATAATGTTATGCCTGATCGAAGTATAAATATATGTTCATACATATTTTTTTCCCATATGGTCTTGAAAAAGAATAATTGTGGTCGCAATTGCGACCATTTTAGTCGCAGTCTGGAGCCTGGACTGCTTTTGAATGAGGCTCAATACAGGGCAATCAATCAGAACAGAGCTCATTTACATATATCAGTCCTAAAGGCACAGTAGCAAAAACAGCCTGTTATATTAGGGACATAGGCATCAAGAGAGGCAGTGAAATAGTCGGGTAAAATAAAAAAATGTTTTTTGATATATAAAACCACACAGGGCCATTTAAAGGGCTAATGTGGAAATGTAAACATCACTGAACCTTCATAGTGTTACTGAGTTCCAGAGTTAGAGTTCAAAGCCAAGTGTGGCAAGTGAATATTTTAGCATTTAATTTGTGCCGCCCAAAGTTTGATTTCTCAATTTGGTTGGCAGATATTCAGCTGAAGCACAAAATCATAATCCTTTTGTGTGGATGAGAACACTAATCCAGTCTGTAATCCAGAACGGGGGCTGGATCTTCTGCTTTTGTTCAGACTCTGAGAGCGAGCGCTCAGTCGGCTGCAGGGGTTCGGGTGGAGGCGGCCTGGGGCTGTGAACCAGAGCATCTTCACACTGTCACAGCTCTGTCAGCCAAATATAACCACACAAACTCCGAGAGCAGACAGACTGGGAATCAACAAGAGGAGTCAATACAGCCTGGAAATGACCAGCTCTCTGAAGGAGGATGTGTAAGGGAATCGTTTCCCCCTCTTACCACAAACGCAGTCCATCAGCCAAGACAAGACAAGTTTGACGTCTGAAGTTCGCTTCTTTAGTTTCAGCACTGGAGCTACAAGGCTAATGTAGCTAACAAGCATTGGGCCCCACCAATTAGCACAGTGCTACCTGCATGCATCACAAACACCCTCCTCAAACTGTATCGAAGTAATTAACAAGGAATTCCACAGATTTTCAAAATTTCTTCTCGATTAACTCAAGATGTCGTTCAGAGTGGTTTGGTGTGAAACGCTCTGTTCTAGAGAAACTTACTGAGTCAGAGCTGTTCACAGTGGTGGTGATAGGAACCAGACATCCACCTCTAAAAGCTCCCTCACAGAAAGTTCCTACATGAAATGGTTATGAATTCACTGCCTGATGACTGAGACACTGTTTTATGATAGTTTAGAGAACTTAAACTCCATTCATGGTGGAGGGATACATGCAGGGCGCTGTGAGGCAAAATAGTCCCCAAAGAAAACTTATTATTCCAGATTTTCTACTATTTTCCATCATCAACATTCCATATAAACTCAGAAGACTCGTGTAGGTTCACTGGTGGTTCTGGATAGTAAATAAAATGTCTATATTTGTGTTGTAGTCATGGCGACCCCTGGTTCCTATCACCACCACTGTAAAGACATCTGAACCATTTCACACCAAACCGCTCTGAACCTCTCTGTTTACACCTCACACCCTAAATTAGGGGGTGATTTTGAAACATTTCCCCTTAAATAATTTCTAATAGAATTGATTATGTGGTTTCTGATACTGTATGACTGTTAGCTAAGAACAAAATTCAGGTTACCCCTATTTTTAACTATGCTAATGAACTTTAGTCGATACAGTATCAGAAACCACAAAATCAGGTCTATTAGAGATACTGAACAACTCCACACTGTTTGAAGAGTGTGTGATTTAGCCATGCTGTTAGCACCATGCTAATTGGGGCATCTAAGATTCTATTATTTCCTAGCTACGTTGGCCTTATAGCTCCAGGGCTAAAACTACAAAGCAAACTTCAAACACCAAACATGTCTCAGCTGCTGCATTGGGTGGAAAAAATGCAGCTGTGAACATTATTCTATATGAGTGACTTTGATAAGGCTTTAGGGGAAAAGGGACCGTCTCCATTCATTCCAACAGCAGCTGCTCGGCAGGGCAGGTTTCCACAGAGGTTCCTGTCCCGTTACGATTCCATGTTTTTTTCCAGTCAAGTAAAACTTCCCATTTGTCTCAATGTTTTGTTGACATCCACATTAAGATCCCAAGACACTGAGCACATTCCTGGCGCTTGTGTGCATTCATGTCTGAGACACGCCCACTAATCCTTATGATGCTTATTTTCTTCGTAAATGCCATCAACTCGGGTCAAACATGCAGGTCACCAGATGGAGACTCCGTCATACAGAGCGCCTCGATGAGGGAGCAGCCACACAGCGTAGGTGTTCGTGCAGGTTCATGTTGGCAGCAAATTCCTGCAGCCGTCTGTGCATCAAACATCTTGGCTAAAATCAGCAGTAGATACATTTTTAAAGCCTGAATTTTGTCCGTACTTTAATCCACGTTTATAGATAACAGTACACTTTAGAAATCACATACTCATGTCATGATCTAAGTCATGATCAGCGGTGCTCGTGCAGTCTTCAACCTGTCGCTGGTGGGCGGTCTGAAGCGAGAGCAGGTAGAGAGGGAGTTCGGCTGGATTGCGTCGTCAGGCAAACTGGATTTTTAAAAGCATGGGAGCCGGTAACACCCAGCGCTTAGCCAGCGTAGGCTGTATTTATTAACCCTCTGGGGTCAATGAACACGTCGGCATGTCAAATTAGATGTTTCTCAGTGTTTCTATTAATATCTTTGTGATGATCCAGTTCAGAAATCCAGTTCAAACACTTCCTGAATCTGTAGAGTCGCCCTTTCCATTCCATCTTATCACGAGATCATACGAGACTCACATCCGGAGTTATGAGCCTATGAAGAGGGGCTGAGATACACGTCATCTGCCTCTCACCGTGTGGAACTGGTGGATTTGTGTGTCCGTCTACATTCTGTGTGAAACTGACCAATGGGCACTCAGAAAATCATTAAAGACTGACCATCATGCCGGAAACCCTTCATTGTTGTGAAAATGTATTTCAAATACATAAAAATATGTCCATATATTTTCTCCTATATGGGTTACCAGCACTGCGATCTGCTTTTCCAACATTTTCATGTTAATGCAGCGGAACAATCTTCAGCGTAAACCAAGGTCAGTGCAGCTGACTTTTCTGTCTTTTCTGATTGGTCATTGCCGCCCCACGTCACTGCTCATTTGCATAAAGTTGAGCAAAGTTGAACTTCATGTCACAAGATTGCTAGCTGATCATCATCAAGTGACGCTGGCTGGAAGTGAATGACTTCCATAAGCTTCCATTACCCTACGTGATGATTTAGGCATGCAGTTAGCACCACGCTAATTTGTAGTTCCACTGCTTCTCAGCAACATTGGTCTTGTGGCTCTAACATAAAGCCAAAGAAGCAAACTTCAGACACCAAACGTCTGATTTACTACACTGGAGCGAATGAAGAGGGCTGAAACTGCGCTCTCGTGTTTTTCCCACCAAACTATCGCTCCAAACATCGTGGTCTTCCCTGGTGGTAACTGCAGATCAGCACATCCGCCCTGGTGGCCTTTGATTCTGCTTCCCAGTGAAAGCTTACAAAAAGATCCCACAAAGAATCCACACGGAGATTTACTCTCCAAGAGGTCTTACCGAACACCCCCCGCCCCTCACACGCAGTCTAATCTCCGCTCTTCTATATCCGATCTGATCTCACGCTGAGTTTGGACAGCAGAGCGATGAGAAATCAGCGCCTGCTCACGCTACAGTCCCACTGATCCGTATCTGCGGCGCTGTATATTCGTCTGTTCTTATCTGGAGGAGCCTCCGTGGGAAATAGAGCCGACATTGAGGAGATTAAAATAATGTGATTACAGACTCGGAACGTGTAGAAATCTTCAAAGATGGGAAGGAAGTGAACTGAATGCTAATGGAAGCTAGCAGATGTTTTCTAAATTGAATTTTAGGGAAAGTTTTTTGTCAGGAGCCAGATGAAAATGATTTGTTGTACTGATTTACAAGTAGTGTGTCTGCCTTAAAAGTTTGAGTTTATTGAAGATCTAATAGTCATTGAGTAGAACAATAACTGCTGCCTGCCGACGTATTATTTGAAGTTCAGCAAAATCTGAATTTAAAATTTTGAAGTCATGTCCAAGTTGAATGTTTCCATAAGACACCGCCTGCTGAGGTTCCTCCGTTGGTCCAGCGTAGATGTTTTCTTCGGTCACCATCATGAAATTTTAGCTGAAAATGTATTGTCACATAAAAAAATGGCGATTCATGATTTCTCATGTTCATTGTATGCAGTTGTTACAGCACAAGCCTAAAGAGGCCAAATTGCCTGATTAGCCATCATGCCTCCTAGATATGTTTGATTACTAGCTAATACTGGTTGTACTGTTGAAATGATACTGCACTGCTGTGCAAATGTCTACACTTACACAGACCTTTCGGCTTGTAGGTTGAGACCGCGGCGTTGCATCAAGCAGCCGGGCGAGCGAGGAGTGCCATAAGCAGAGCACACGGAGAGCCAGCTGTTCTCCATGCCAGGGTAATGGCTAATGGCTAACCCCAAGAGACTGGCCTTTCTTTCCACTCTCTTTTCCCCATTAACTCATTACAGTCTGATGTCACTGCTTTGACAGTAAACTAGACTAACTGACCTCAGGCTGCAGCCACTACACGAGAGGTGAGGGACTCAGCAAGTTCTGCACTGTCTGTACGTCACATTAACTGCATGTATCTGCATACCGGTATAACAGTAATGACAAAACTAACATGTCGCCCTACAGTTCCCATAATCCTGTATGTCAGCACTGATGCAATCAGAAGAAAAAAATGTTAAATCAACTATATCAGATCTGATCTCAAGCTGAGTTTGGACAGCAGAGCGATGAGAAATCAGCGCCTGCTCACGCTACAGTCCCACTGATCCGTATCTGCGGCGCTGTATATTCGTCTGTTCTTATCTGGAGGAGCCTCCGTGGGAAATAGAGCCGACATTGAGGAGATTAAAATAATGTGATTACAGACTCGGAATGTGTAGAAATCTTCAAAGATGGGAAGGAAGTGAACTGAATGCTAATGGAAGCTAGCAGATGTTCTCTCGATTAAACTTCAGGGAAAGTCTTTTTTCAGGAGCCAGCTACAGTTAAGGAAGATTTGTTGAATTAAACTAAAAAGTAACTGGGCTGCCTTAAAGTTTGAGTTCACTGAAGCTCTATTAGTAAGTAAACAGAACAATAATCGTTATCTTGGAATCTGTCAATGTATTATTTGGAGTTCAGTAAAACCTAAATTTTAAGTTTTAAAGATATGTCCGAATCTAATGTTTGAATAAGACGCTGCTGGATGTACTGATACTACACTGGTGTTCATGCAAATTGCTCCTCCAGCTGTTTTTTATTAGTACCCATTACTTTTCCAGCCTTTTGTTGCCCTGTCCCAACTTTTTTGAGGTGGTGCTGCTGATATCTGTTCTATGTTCTATTGTGAATAAAATATGGGTCTATGAGATTTGCAAATCATTGCATTCTGTTTTTATTTACATTTATTTACATTTTAAACAGCATCCCAACTTTTTTGGAATTGGGGTTGTATAAAAAGACCATGACTAACACTAACACAGTTAAATGCTAACAACTAGCAGTGAGCTGTCTGTATTTTGGCAATGTTTTGATGTACTGCTGCATTCAAAGCGTGTCTCAAATGCGTCTCGGTTGCAGGAATCTTCATCACAAAGCTGCCTTCTAAGGCACTGACCTACAAGCCAGCAGAATACTTATTAGGATGTGAATTCTGACTAATTTTGATGAGTATTCATAGGAGCTAATGAACAAATATTCACTTGACCAAACAAAATTAGTGTAGAGCCGTAGGCTTATCTTTTAGCCGATACCACTGCTGTTAAGAGGCTAAAAAATCAGTGATACAAAGATTTTGCAAAACATAGAAGAACACATTTAAAAAAATGTTTTATTTAAAAATAGCCAAGGGAAACGTGTAGGTTTTTGTATTGGATAACAGAGGCTAACTCTTCAGACAAGCTAATAAGCTTGAATAGAGCTAACAAGTACACAGTCGGACTCTGACGAGGATTTAGTGCCATTTTTAGTCCAGAGGTTAAATGTAAACCTTTTGCTTTACACCTGCATTTGTATGTGGTTTGGCCTCATCCGTATATAATCCTGATACTCAAGACACATAAGGTGACCAGGTGTAAACGAGGTCTATATATTCCAAATCAAAACTGAAACGCTAAAGATTCCACAGTGTGTAGATCAGTCTGACCTTCTTAGGACACTGCATGTCTCTGGCGAGGCTCAGGAGCAGCTCGTGAGAAATGGGGTCCACCAGGTTCAGGAAAGCTGCGTTCTTGTAGAGGATGTCGTTCAGGGACGTGCCCTCTAAGCCCAGGTCCTGCCAACACACAAAACCACACAACACAGATAAAATATGTCTTTTATCAGTGATTAACATTTCATTGTGACTACACAGTGTAGAAAAGCCTTTTTGAAAGACAGCGTTAGTGGGAAATCATAACTCATCCTCTTCTTGTACTGTGACGCGTTTGTGAGTGAAACACGGCATCAGTGAGGGTCTCTGAGCGAGCCGAGTGTCGATCCTTCTTCAGGAATGTCCAGTCTTATTCGCAAAGGGCTGGTGTGGCTGCAGGTTTTTGTTGCAACAAAGCAGGAGCTCACGTGCAGAAGTCAAGTGATTGAGTGATGTGGCTGATGAAGCAGAATGAAGGAGTGATGTGGCTAAAGAAAAGGAGTGATGAAATGATGCGGCTGTTGAAGCAGAGGGATACAGTGATGTGGCTAAAGAAAGGAAGTGATGGAGTGATGCAGCTGTTGAAGTGGAGTGTTGGAGTGATGCGGCTGTAGAAGTGGAGTGTTGGAGTGATGCGGCTGTAGAAGCCGGGTGTTGGAGTGATGCGGCTGTAGAAGTGGAGTGTTGGAGTGATGCGGCTGTAGAAGCCGGGTGTTGGAGTGATGCGGCTGTAGAAGTGGAGTGTTGGAGTGATGCGGCTGTAGAAGTGGAGTGTTGGAGTGATGCGGCTGTAGAAGTGGAGTGTTGGAGTGATGTGGCTTTAGAAATGAAGTGTTGGAGTGATGCGGCTGTAGAAGCAGAGTGATACAGTGATGCGGCTGTAGAAGCCGAGTGTTGGAGTGATGCGGCTGTAGAAGCAGAGTGTTGGAGTGATGTGGCTGAAGAAAAGGAGTGATACAGTGATGCGGCTGTAGAAGCAGAGTGATACAGTGATGCGGCTGTAGAAGCAGAGTGATACAGTGATGCGGCTGTAGAAGCAGAGTGATACAGTGATGCGGCTGTAGAAGCCGAGTGTTGGAGTGATGCGGCTGTAGAAGCCGAGTGATACAGTGATGCGGCTGCAGAAGCAGAGTGATAGTGATGTGGCTGTATAAGCAGAATGATGAAATGATGTGGCTAAAGAAAAGGAGTGATGGAGTGATGCAAGCGTAGAAGCAGAGTGTTGGAGTGATGCAGTAGTAGAAAGGGAGTGACTGAGCCTGGGCTGTGAAAGTGGCTCCACAGGGTTATTAATATTCAGATCCTGATGCTTTTATCCGTCATGGCCGGCGTATTCCGGTACAGGTCTTTGCACTCCCTCCTGCTGGAGAGTGTGAGCTGTAATGTTTTTAGCTGCAGGCTAACTGTGCCACACTGGGGACGGGACGCCCACACGGATCCACCTTACCGTCCCAAACTCCCTCGCTCAGGCACTCAATACTCTCCCTCTTTCTGTTTTTCTTTATTCTCTTTGCTTTTGCTCTTTTCTCTGTCCATTCTGTCTGTTTCCCTGTCTCTCCCACATTCTTCCTTTATTTTCCTTTCTCTCTGCTCAGTCCTTATTTCTGTATCTCTCTGCACATTTTTTTCATTCTGTACCATCACTGTCTCTCTCTCTCTCTCTCTCTCTCTCTCTCTCTCTCTCTCTCTCTCTCTCCCCATCATTTCACAACTCAGACATCTATCTATCAGACAGTTCTGCACATTTAGCTCCCTTAATGTTTTGAACCAAGACCTTTGACAGGACAGGGACATTTGACTGACAGGCAAAAATAACCAATCACAGACCTTTGTTTCAGTGTGATATGAAGGGACAGGAGAGTTTCAAAACAGAGCTACACATCCGTGGGATGGAGGATGCACTCTTAAAAAGTAACCCTTCAGTGTTTTGCTTTCCGGAGCTTTTTTGTTAAGCAGAATTTATCGAAGGTTTCTTGGAGAAATTTTTGGCTGTATATCATCTTTTGTTTTCTCAAGAGTGAGAAAATGTATGCATGTTTATTTCATGAGAAATCAAATAGAGAAAGCTGAATGTCCAGCAAAGGTCCAAAATAAATCCAGCTTTAACAGCCCAAAATGCACCCAGCAGCTACAGACTACTCTCTCCCTACAACTGCGAACTGAACCGCAACTGTAAAAGTGAAAATAGCTCGCAAAAACAACTAACAAGGATCATACAGGCCTTAACATCAGTTAGGAAACAAAACTCACTTCATTCATGGCAACAACAGCAGAGGATAAACTAATGAATGAACTGTAAGTTAGTTTCTCCGGAACGTGCGACGTGCAGACATTTTTACATGCCCCATTGTCATTTGCTATACCACTGACCACAGTTTGGGAACCACTACTCTAGACCTAAAACAAAACTCACTAATAGAACCGTGTGCTCACATAAAACACACATATCCAAAAGACAAGATATTTAAGAACAAACATAACACTGCTGTCAGAAGAAAAAACGAAACGATAACTTTACAGAGGAAGGAAAAAACTTACTTTACTTTTAATGTAAGTTAATGGAACCAGACTTCTTTCCAAGTCATTTTGGGCCCTCTCCTTTGGTCCATTCTTCATGGAATTTACAGGGCAACAGGCATTTTCAAATTAGGTCAAACTGAAAACTGAAAAAACGACAAAAATGGAGATACAAGGTTTTCTTATGACAGCAGCGATAAAAGCTCAACAAAGTCTGCAGTAGATAGTTTGCACACACTGACCCCTTTAACTCAGCAGTAATAAAAAGCTGCTGGCTGAAGAAGCACTTCGCCGTGATGTCCTTGTGACCCCATCTGCCTTAATGAAAACAGATCCAGCACAGCTCAGCTGCAATGAGGCTGGACACCAAGTCTCAGGCCATCACGCTAATGTCAGAAACGTTCTCTATGCAAGTATGCGAGCGCAAATGGCCGCGCTTGGCCAACAACTCAGTGTGCATGCTTACATTATTCAGTACTGAAGGGGGCGCTAGAGGACAAATGAGAAGCTCTACTGCTATTCCATCAGCCTCAACAGCTAAATGTGGACAGCAGAGGAGAGTGAGCCGCTGGACCTCTTCTGCTGGAATGGAAAGGCCATAATGTGCCATATTTTTAAATGTTTTTGTAAGTCGTTTTTGCGTGAGACTTAACTGCTCGTTGACAGCAGCTGAGAAACCATGCTGGCAGTACAAAAGCACTTGGACAGGCTTGGCTGTTATAGCGCCCCCTACTGTAACGTTAAAAATGCAGCTTGCACTTGCTCTTGCGTTATGAAATGTGTCATTTTTGAATGCAACCATGCGCGAAACCCTGTCTGCACAGCTTACAGTGTCTCTATTCGCGTTCTTGCATAAAGTACAACCCCAGTTCCGAAAGAGCTGGGACACTGTGCAAAATGTAAATAAAATCTAAAATGCAATTTCATTGAAAATAGTACAAAAACAACATATTAAATATGAAACTGAGAATTACCATTTTTGAATTTGATACCAACACACATTCCAAAAATTTGGGACGGGGGCAACAAAAGGCTGGTAAAGTTGTGTAATGCTAAAAAACACCTGGTGGTTAATTGGAATCAGGTCAGTAACATGATTGGGTATAAAAGAGACTCTCAGAGAGGCTGAGATTTTCAGAAGTAAAGATGAGGAGGGGTTCACCACTCTGTGAAAGACGTTTCTCAACATAAAATCATGTTCGGCCGGTTCGTTCGAAACCTCTTCAAACACAGAGCAGTTTGATGAGTCTCTTCTAATTTTTTTGGTACAGAAACATCAGACTAAATGTTTATGAGTCTCAGCAGCGCAAAATTATGACGAATGTCGAGTTGGATTGACGTAAAAGTTGCATGAATTCCGATCTGGCTGTTCAGAGTCGCATTGCCGCAGATCGGATACGTATTGGATTTCAGTACCACATATGAAAGCGTCTCAAATCGGAATTGAAAACGTCAGATTCAATGCGTTTTTTGCTGTTCACACTGCCACACAGATGACTCATCTGTGTCACATTTGAGGAAAAAGATCGGATTTGGGCCACTTTTACCTGCTGTGTAAACGTAGCCTAAATTTCTCTGGCTCTTTTGGAAGTGTCTCGGCAAGGCTGCCTTGGGTGCGCCTAAGTCGGATACAAATTTGTGAGATTTCGGTGTCCATATCTTGGGTTCCCTGAAGACTAGCAATCCAGGGCATATCACGCGAATAGGCACATCACACTCTACTGGGGTTTGGAATCTGGCTTTGATCTAACATTTCTAACATCAAAGATCAGATATCGAATGTTATCATCTCCGGGTTCCTTGAAGACCAGCGATGCGATCCAGGGCTGCAAAGTATCTCCTTCTCCTGACGTTTTATTCATGACAGTGATGAGTCAACATTGATTAAACTGTCGACTCCCTACCTTCACATAACTTACTGACGTAGATTAAATATGCTGGAGCACTTGCTTGTAGTGCATCTGTAGCAATTACAACTTCTCAATGATCTTGTATCACAAACGCTGCTCATTTTCCCCCTCTTAAACTGCTTAGACCCTGAGTTCCTTACTTGAGTGTCTGGTCTACCACAAAATGATTATCTCAGGTACTTCAAAGGTCCAGGTTTCCATACACTTTTATGCATGTCTTGACATCCAATTACAAAGATTTGATGGCAATTACCAAATAAAATCACCAAAGTTCGGTTGGATGTGGGGTGCATACATTACTGCGAAATTAATTTGGTGAATAAATAACGTAAAAGTGAACGAAATACAGTCACCGATCATGTGTTTCCATTTTTGGAGTGTTTTTGAACTGATGGGTAAACAGACAGAAGGTGGACCTGAGCCGCCATGTTAGTCACTGCTTTCTGCCTCTGCACTATACACATAAAATACAGCCATAAAATGAAACACATCAACAGATTTCTCTGTAAACTTGCTCCGTATTTCTCTACAAGTGTTTCATTCTCTTGTCCAGGGCTGATGGAAAGTCTGTCTAAAGCTCCATTATAGCTGGATTAGTGTTATCTTGGAAGGTGCTGTAATTTCCGTGATTACCGACAAGATCTGTGATTCTAATCCATGATGAATGTGCAATATCCGAGGATTTCACATATCTGCTAAGTAATAATTCCGGCACAA